GTATCAGACGACATTCTGTTGTTCCACAGGGGTTTTCATTGGCTACTACTCAGACTAGCTCACCAGGCCTTTCTTCATCTTCTGGAAGTCCCACTGCATGCTGCCCACCATGAACAACACTGCTGGTGGTTTAAAATCCCGGTTGCCATCACCACAGTAACTCACAAGTCGCCATGGACAACAGACGTGACGGAAGAGGTGGGTCCAAGGCCTAGTTATTTTGAGTAGATTTTTTTCACTCTGTACTTTTTACTTATCTACCATCTGAGAGGCATCCTCTAAAAGTATTTTCATTCCTGCATGTTTTAACTCTCACAGGAGCTTGTTTCAGAGTTTAAAAGCTTTTCAAAAGGTGAATCACTTGGAAAACTGATCCTAATTGGAGCATAAGCTCTTTCACAATATTCACCCTGAAATGGCCCTTCAGCTCATGAACAGTACCTCAGGAACCTCTATTTGATGTTTTTATGTTTGCAACGCAGACACGCGGCATGTTTTTCTTTCTTTCCCACATCCCGTAATGTGCGGGACAGTGCTACCGCACTCAAGAGGGGCGTCATAGGGCTGCATGCATACCTGGGGGAACTCCTGGAAGGCTCCCATCGTTTCTTGGCTTCTTTCCGAGGAGCCACCAATCACAATCAAGGGCCTGAAAGATTCATTTTTAAAAACCGAATTAAATTTTCCTTTAAAATGGTAGATAGGGATTGAGGAAGAAACCTGATAGGATAGAAACCTTTCTTTAAAAATATGAAATATGTAATAACTGGAGCTTCTTGTCCCGAACTTTAGGTGCTGGCCCCTGTTGGGGGAGGTCAGATGTGCAGGCATTCCCCCCCTGAGGGCGATCAGTTGCCAGAATGCACTAGCCCTACTCCCTGCTGCTAGAGACAATGGGTTACCTCTCTCTGGAGCCTAAGGCCATTAGCTTGGTTCCTGTAGGAGGGGTTTGCTCCTCCCTGTGTCCTATGTCTCTACCTGTAATTAGTGGGCTGGCTTTCCCCCAAAAGGTATATAGGCATGGGTCAGCAATATAGAGCTCTCGGGCTCCGACCTCTCTGA